GCAATTTATAACGATTTATAGTGATTAATATATTAATAAAAACTTAAATGCAGGTAGGCAATATTTCATAAATTCACATATACGAGGTAAGAATCAAATAATACGACTGCCGTTATATATCAATGGTGTTATTAAAGATATGGTTTTTGTGATAACCTTTTGGTGATGAATGGCCTCAATTTAAGCAATTGTAGGAATGAAAGAACTGTCTAGTCACTTCAGCCGCTTTAAAGGAAAGTTCAGAAGAATATAATTGTGCAAAATTCAAATATCTTTAGGACCTAAAAAATGCACTTCAAGATATTTTCGGTTCTATAAGAATGAAAAAAGCCTTACTTGTTGGAATAAATACTTTATTTACAAGAATTGCCTAAGTCGCGGCTTATAACCAAAATGTTGGGGGTTCACAATGACAGAATATAGATCTCAGTAGGTACAGAAGTGATTTAAACATGTATATATACTATATATAGCTCAAACACTGAACGTTTGTTGCCTAGATCTGTACTGAGATTAATGTTCTGTCATTGTGAACCCCAAATATTTTGATTACAAGCTGCCATTGCTTTAAAACTAGCCTTACAGAAACTATAGCTATATACGGCTCATTAGGTAATAACTCGAAGGACTTTGACAAGCTGAGAAGATCGCTGTCCTTAGACACCACTTAGCGTCAACCATCAGGTTTTTAACAAATTGATTACCTGCGGAACTTTGATGAGCTCTGAAGATGGCTGTCTTTAAAGACCTCTTAGAGACAATCAGCAAGTTTTGACAAATTGAGATACCTCTAGAGGCTGCACAAATGGTCTTGTAACCTACCGCACCCATGTATCTTTATAATTTATTAGTTCCATTTTATTATAGAAAAGTTGCATTCTTATAAAATTCATATAACTTCATTTTAAGAAAAATTAATCTTATTTTTAGACGCCAAAGAAGTAAAAACAATATTTTTGAACGCGGGACTCTAGTTTCCCATAGACAAACTCAATACCCAGAAAAGATAAAAAGTCATCCAATGAGAATTCGACCTAAAAACATATTTCTTTTCACAAAGTTATAATGAATAAAACAGTTAACGATCTTATCTTAAGTTAGTTCCACATGATATCGAGGAAATCAAGATTTATTAATTATTATTTTAATTTCAGTTATTTCAGTTATTTTACAACTTTAGTTATATTTTACGTTCAGTGTTCAGTACCTTTTCTAAATAGACGCTCTTCCTAACCGACGCTTATCCTACTCTATCTAATATCGACGTTCTACATCCCGACGATCTATCTCCCGAACGCTTTCATGTACCGATGCCCTTCCTCCTGTCCGACGCTCTACGTCTTGACACTCTTTATCCTAACCGACGTTGTACGTCAAGACGTCTTCTATCCTAAACGATGTTCTACGCCCAGATGACCTCTCTCTTATACGATGCTCTGCATTCCGATCCCCTTGCTACGTCCCGCCGCTCTACATTCCGACGCTCTACGTTCCGATGCTTTTACATTCGGATGCCCATGTTTAATATTTCCAAATCAGCAACATTTCCACGTATCAACAACAAAATAAAAACTTCAGGAATAGATGGTGAGTCAATAATTAAAGGTTTATTATTATATTAAAGTGCCAATGTCTGTCTGACCATACCGCAATTTCGGGATAGAGAAAGCCAAAATATTTTCGGACTCGGATATAAGCTAGGGATTCTTAGAGAAGCAAATTGACACTAAAATCATGGTACCTACTTTTGCGGTTCCCGATATATAGAATTCAGTCGAAAATCGCCTAGATGTCAAAGATTTCAAATTGCGGCTTACTATATTGAAGTGCCAATGTCTGTTTGTCAAATTACCGTTGTTTATCAACACACTTTTTAATCAATAAGCAATCAACTACGAATTTCTCGTCGAAGACGCTCGGTCCCCCGGTTTTTATTCATTATTATAGAAATGTATCATTCACTAACGTCACATTTGGCCTGTTATATGGACACGTCCCAGTATGTATTTGCCGTTTTTTTATACTAGCCTAAAATTATTTAAGAATCTGGACTACCGAAATGCCGATATACCTTTACTAATAGCTAATAAATTAACAGCTCAGCTGACTCTGGTAAATGACACTTCGGGTGGCTAGACTCACATTTTCACAAATATCTATGTTTGGTGTTATTCCAAGGCTGGACTGTCTAAGATAATTATCTCTTAATCTTCGCACCGTAGGAAGATCTGAACATAAAGGATAGTTCGTGGGTACTGATCTTGCTCTATTCTAGTAGGACTACACTACATAAACCCCCTCTAGGTGAGGCTATATAAAAAAGAAACGACGAAACAATAATTATTAAAGACTGTGTAATTCTGATAAGGTCTGCTGTATAGCCTCAAGAATTCTTCAACAGTACATAATTTATGGATAGTGCCCTCTGGCTTGTTTATTTGGGAAGAACACATGTGAGGTCTCGGTGGGAAATATAGTTTCTCATCCCCCAATTCAAGTAATGTTATCGCTTTTTATTTGAGGATAAAATAAATAAGTAAAATTTATTTTGAGTTTTATTTCATTCTTGAATCCTGAATTGCTTTTGATAATTCAAGAAGCGACCAGGAGGTGGACAGGAACAGTCTTATAAAGCCTAAGTGCTGTGAAGTAACCCACCCTCCCCCACTTTACAGATACAGACACATTATTTGGTGAGATCAGTGGTAACTGGGGGTTATAATGAAATATTCAATCACCAATAAATAATTACTCGGGGTTCCAGTACTTATACAAAGATTTTATATGTCTCAAGATTTATAAATTTTCGAGCAATTCAATTTTAATAAAATTGTTACGTGAAATGTTATAAATGATTATAATATTATTTAGTAGCTCGGTGGCTACAATTACCTCAGTTGCGCACTACGTTTGATAATTTTAAGACGTTTACAGTTGTGGTTTAGTATCTTTTTATTTAAGAAATGAATCGAAAGTATTTAAAGTGTGTAGGTAGAGTTTTATTAATAATAATATTAGTCTGAGCGCTTTCAGCCTGTTAGGCCATCATCAGAGACACTACAAAGAGAGAAAAAACGGAGCTATAACAATATAATCAAATCGTGATATTCCTGAACATTGAATAAAAAATAAAACGTCTTCAAAGCTTACTCGTCAATAAATGTAGAAGAAGCATGAAAATTAATGTATAACTAGATTAAAAAAGGGTTGCCACAATACAGTCCCTGTTCTCCACCATAACTTGAGACTTGAGTCGTAAGAAATAACAGAACCACTCCTAAAAGGTGGTTGCAATTTAAAAAACGTGGGGGCTCATCCCAACACGTAGAAATAAACAATCTCAATCGTTCAAAGGTAGAGCAAGATAAAAAACTGTACTTCGGCATAAAGCCAGCTGACCCTTCCAAGTCGCTGCCGAGAGGCGGAGGCAACTTGGGGCACAAGAAGTCGTAGAACGTTCAGGGCCGAATTTATCATTACAACGCCCCTAGGCCCGAATAAATTTGGCGCCCCCCCCCCCCATCATACACTGATGATTTTGTTGTCTGAAATAAAATTTATTCAAATGAATACTTGTTAACAGCGAACTTATCATTTATTTAAAGAAAATTCTTTGGATTATTTATAATATTAAATATTAATAACCTTTTCCAATTTTGTTTTTTGTTAGCACTACAAGTTTCGCCCCTTAGTGTTAACACAAAACAGAATTGGAAAAGGTAAATAATATTTAATATTACAAGTAACCTCAATCTAATTCAGGGCCAATCAAATGAAAATAATAATTCTTTGAGCCAAGTGAACAATCAGTTTTATGTAGAAATAAAAACTACAACTATATAATACATAAAATGTGAACAATACAGATTTTGATAGTTTCAAGAAAATCAAACCTATTGTGAAGATCAGAATATTTACACTCACGTTTCTTAATTTCAGAGTATAGGGAGTCCAATATGCAGTTAAAAGCATTAACACGGAAGTTTTCCGACCCTGTAAATTGATCATCACTGCTAGGACCACCATATTCACCAAACTTAGTAGATACCTTTCTTTTGCGCCGCTAATTAGCCATATACTCTTTCCTACACTTCTCATTCGCTGATCGTTCCAGGTAATCAAAGTTGTTCCTTACTTCTTGAAGAAAACCACACAAAGAGTCGTATTAGGCAACTATTTTCCCTAGCTCTGTGATTTCGTACTGCAGCTTTACATTTACTTTATTAAACCTTTCCAGAATTGAGCCCCACAGTGCTGCCATAATGGTTGTCTCTAGGAAACTTAGCTTTTCATTTATAGTCCTGGCTTCATTTATTGTGGAGTGCCTCTCGTCACAGTCACTAGCAATTTCATCTAAACTTTTAAAAATTACCTCTTTGGTTTCATTAACAGCTCGGCAGGCGTCGTGACGAGCAGATCACCGAGTCTTTGAAAGGTTTTGCAACTATAATGCTGTTTCTTGTCAAAATAGTCCATCTATGTGGTGAAGCGCTAAAAAAGTTATACAGCTCCTGGAGTAATCCAAAAAAGGAAATAGCCTCCTTTTATGACTGCACACGAGCCTACTAGGTTTAAGGAATGCGCAGAACAAGGTACATACTCCGCCAGAGGACTGAGCTGTTTGATACGAGCTTGAACTCCAGAGTAAATGCCTGACATATTCGAGGCGTTATCATATGATTGGCCTCTACAATTGGAAATGTCCAAATTACATTTTTCAAAAAGACCCAATACTGTGTTTAATTTCTCTTCTGTTTTGTGACTGATATTTGGCACAAAACAAATAAATATCTCTATCGGCATGCTATTAATAGCAACATATCTAACTACGAAGGTAAGTTGGTCTACATGTGAAATGTCCGGCGTGGAGGTCTAATATAATGCCAAAATACAATGCCAAAGTATTTTGCTTCTTGAACTTCTTTCAAAATTGTGTCCCTAACTTCTTCTGCCATAAGGGCGATAAGTAGTTTTCGAAATGTACGACGTACTACCCTTACCTTGGTCGCTGTATTGACGTAGATGTTCGGCCATAAAAGGGTCGAATTGGGCTATAAATTTCAGAAGTTCAATGAAGTTTCTACAGTTAAGTTCATCAGATCCTCGGAGAGCCAACCCTTGCACAATTAAATATTTAACAGCTGTCACCACTCTCTTAAGTAACTCCCTACAATAGTGGACTTTATGTTCTATTTTTAGTTTTTCTAAACTGTTTCTATGGTTAAAACTGTTTTCATGGTCTTTCACACATTGATTAGCATTTTCCAGTCATTGAAACCGTTTGGAAATGCGCCCTTGTTATCCGACTCGTCAAATATCATACACGGAACGCAGAAAACGGAACCTTTTTATGGTGAATAAACCATCCACGCTCTGTTTGTTTTCTCCATTTTGAAGTTTTTTCGTAAACAAACTCTTAGACAGGAAGCGAATTTTATCTGGATACGGTCTTTTGGATTCATTAAAATCGGAGTCACTATTTTGCTTTACACTACTTTGGGTACAAATAAAATCCTTTATTTCATCACTTACATCCCATAAACATGGATCGGAAGTGAAAAAGTCTGCACTACCTCTACCATGTTTTACATAAACTACGTCTTCAGCATCAGCAGATTTATTTTGAAGTTCTGGTACAAGATCGGGTTCAGAAGCAACTTCTTCGGCGTTGAAACTGTTAGAAGCGTCATGAGAAACAGCCTGTACATTTTCACGGTAACCATCATTACTAACTTGACTTTGAACATTTCGTGAAAAAAAAAATTGTTATTTTAGAAACTTTTTTAATAACTTTTTTATTTTTCTCATCTTTCTCTTCGCGCATTTTTCTAAACTCTGCACCACTAGGTTTTAATTTAAAGTTCATTATTAAACACTCATGATTACTTTAACAATAATAAATACTTATTTTCAATAACAAAGTAATGGACCACATTGTAAAAGTTGAATATTAATCAGCATTAGAAAACACACGAACAAAGCACAGATTTAAAACAAAGCACTGGGGTGATTTGACTAGTGACAACGACCCACGACAACGACAAGTGACTAACTAACTGTAAACTAAAAACATTTGATTTCGATTTTTTTTATGACAGTGCGCCCCTTGGAGCCGTGCGCCCTTAGGCCCGGGCCTACTGGGCCTAGTGGTAAATCCATGCCTGAGAACGTTAGCGAAAATTCGGAAAAAACGGAAAAAGTACCCATCTTGACAGTGTCAAAAAGAACTGAGTGACAATTGACAGTTGACAATGAAGTTGTCAAGACAATTGCCAACTTGAGAAATAGAAATGAATTTTATGAGAAATGATCAAAAGTTAATATTGACAAAGATAAAAGTGGGTTGGTACCACTGAACTAGCAAGCACAGGTTATGGAGGGAATTTTAAATTTTAAACAACCAAACATTACAATGATTAAATAGAATTATAAAATATACAGTGAATGAAGGTAAAAAACTAATTTTTTATATAAAATTATTGGAATTGAAAGGTGCCTGACTAAAAACAACAGAATTGAGCATGCCGACCCCAGCAAAACCGAAGTTGCAGGCAGACCAATTTTTCCAGCTATAAGAGGAAGAAAAACCGTCCTGGCCACGAAATCAGATATCACCGGAGAAGACAAGATCAACTCCGCTGTACGAAGATTCATGGAGAAGCTAGCTAGGTAACTTCAGACCAACCGTTGCCAATACTCTTAAAGAGAGGAGGCACTTTGCTATTGAGATGGATTTGAGTGTTAACACATGTGACATTAGTTTTATTAAATTCTCGATGTATCTCAAGATCTTCGAGCAGATTTAATTTAAAGTTGTAATTAAAAATATTATGAAGGACAGTGACATTCTCAGAAGGAGTGAATTTGTGATTATTGAATTTAATATGATGTCCGAAAGTAGAGTTGTCTGGATATCTAATGTGTTCACCCGCTCGTATGTTGAGTCTTCTCTCGGTTTTCCCTATATAAGTATTATTGTAATCGTTACAGTTTAATCTGTAAATACCGCTTTTGTGTATCAACTCGATTTCATCCTTAGTGTGCGACAGTTGGCTTTTAATCGAATTAACATTTAAAAAAAAAAAAAATTAATATTGTTGCAATCCTTAAAAACTGCAGCGATATCATTGGAAATTTTCCCGAGATAAGGTAGTAAAAAGTATTTAAAATTTGCAGGAGGATCGTTAGTAGGATTAAAAGTAAGTAGGGACCTTTTCTTTAGTTTGACCTTATTAATAACCACGTCAATAATAGAAGGATTGTAGTTGTTATTAAAAGCTAATTGTTTTAAAACGTTGATTTCTTTATTAAAATTATGACTGGATAAAGGTATATTGAGGAGACGCTGAACATAACAGTATATGGCTGATAACTTGTGTTGATTTGAGTGGGTTTCCTGTAGATATCAAAATCAAGCTTATTATCCAGACGACTAATAGAAAGGTCTAGGAAATTAAGTGATTTGTTGACTTCAAGTTCGACTGTGAATTTGATTTTAGGATGGATATTGTTGATGAAAATTAAGAAGTCATCAATCTCAGTGAAGTTGCAATTCATAATAGCAAAAATTTCATCAACATATCTGTGTAAGATTCGATTGTTAGGGAAATCATTCAGAATTTTATTGGTTTCTAGGTGATCTAAAAATAAGTCTGCTAGCAAAGGACTTAGAGGATTGTCCCATTAGGTTGTCTGTAAAATGTTATTATTAAAAATAAAGAAATCTTGGTCAAGACAGACTTTGAGCAAATCCAGGATAATATTGATCGAATGAAGATTAAAGTTATTTTTAGTAAGAAGGTCTTTAATAATAGGAAAGGTTTCCTCTCTGGGAACATTCGTGAATAAATTGCTAACATCAAAAGAAACGAAACAAAAGGAACCCACTTTTATCTTTGTCAATATTAACTTTTGATCATTTCTCATGAAATTCATTTCTATTTCTCAAGTTGACAATTGTCTTGACAACTTCATTGTCAACTGTCAATTGTCACTCAGTTCTTTTTGACACTGTCAAGATGGGTACTTTTTCCGTTTTTTCGCTAACGTTCTACGACTTCTTGTGCCCCAACTTACCTCCGCCTCTCGGCAGCGACTTGGAAGGGTCAGCTGGCTTCATGCCGAAGTACAGTTTTTTATCTTTCTCTACCTTTGAACGGGTGAGATTGTTTATTTCTACGTGTTGGGATGAGCCCCCACGTTTTTTAAATTGCAACCACCTTTTAGGAGTGGTTCTGTTATTTCTTACGACTCAAGCCTCAAGTTATGGTGGAGAACAGGGACCATATTGTGGCAACCCTTTTTTAATCTAGTTATACATTAATTTTCATACTTCTTCTACATTTATTGACGAGTAAGTTTTCAAGATGTTTTATTTTTTATTCAATGTTCAGGAATATCACGATTTGATTATATTGTTTTATCTCTTTGTAGTGTCTCTGATGATGGCCTAACAAGCTGAAACCGCTTAGACTAATATTACTGAGTTTTACTATTAATAAAACTCTACCTACACACTTTAAATACTTTCGATTCATTTCTTATTACCCAGTGTGTACACACCACTCAACCTCTTCAATCTTTTTATTTATTTTTGACATTTGAGGTTGTGTTTGGAATAATTTATTTGTAGAATATTTGCTATTGTTGAGTATTTTACGAAATTAGTTTTTATATAAGACAGTTTTTTGTGTAATCTAGTTATAGATTTATTTATAGCTGTTTAAAATTGAAGTATTACATCTATTGTGTAGACATTAGCCTATTATGTAGACATTAAAAAGCAAACAAAACTACGAATTAGGTATATTGTTATCTTTCCGTTCCCGACAATAAAACTTGTTCCGTTTTATTCTCGCCGTTTTTTCGTTCCTTAATTTTAATTTCAAAGGCTTTATGGGCAAGATAACAGTCGAAAAGCGAAATGCATAGCGAAACTAATATTTATCTTGAGTCGTATAACTGAACTGGGTAAGTTGAAGGTTCGTTATTCGACGTCGGTGCCGCATCAAATTTAATTACAATTCGTAATGAAATGCTATCTCACATTCTGATCTACGCGTAATGAAATATTTTGCATCTAAACAAAATGAGTAATTATACAGATGGAAATGAAATTACTTTTCAGTTATTTTAATTGCTACAAAAGTGGAGTTTTTTCATCAAGTGCGGGGTTTTGTTGTTCTGAGATACAAAAAGAGGGCGTTTGAAGGTAATAATAATGAAATATTTTGAATTTTAAGTAATTACAAGCTTGAGAAGGAAATGAGATGCCTTTTAAAGTTACGAGGGACGGTTATTTTTTTTTTTTTTTTGAGAATAAGAACAGACATTAATTTTGTTATGTCTTGTACTCGGAGGAGCGGGAGGGTAGAATTGCTTCACCGGGTATTTACCACTGAGGCGATAGAGGTACACCAGAGGGGTAAATACATTGGAACTTCTTGTGTATATATTTTAGGGAATTCTCAGGAATGCTCTGGACATTCCCGGGAATTCCTGAGAATTCCCATGTATTCCTGGGAATTCTCTGGTATTCCCGGAAATTCTAATGTAATATTAATAATAATAATGTTTATTTGAAAATATAAAAAAAACATATTAAAAAATACAAAGCACAAATAAACAAGAAACAAAAACCACGAAGCAGGTCAAGCCTACTTGTGAGTGGTAATTCACAAATAAATATAGTAAAATAAATTGTACAAAAATATTTTTAAGACATAATATATATATATATATATATATATATATATATATATTTTTACATTCTTATTGTTCAATAATATCATGAACAACATCCCGTGGCATATTAAGAACATAATATTTTATTTTTTGTTTAAATACAAATAGCCTGGTTTCCACCTTAATATCGGGAGGTAACAAGTTATAAATTTTTGGACCTAAATATAAATAATGTCTTTGTCCGATTGCCTTTTGCATGTAAGGGGTAATGTACGCGCCTTTATTTCGAGTAGCATATTTATGACATAGAGTTTGCAATTCTGTTTTATGTTTATGTGTAATCATTGCAGTGTTTATAAAATATAATTGTCTAATGTCAAATATGCTACTATTACGGTATAAGACGTTGCTAGGGCAGTCGTAACCAGCGTTAAGGATTGTTCTTAGAAATCGCTTTTGTAAAACTTCGAGAGCTGATAGGTAAGTTTTAGATACGCCACCCCAAGCTATTATTCCATAACTAAGGTGAGATTCAACTAAATTTTTATATATAACTATTTTTTGTTTAAAATCTAATATGCCGCATATTTGTTTAAATTTAAATAGTATATAGCGTAGTTTTTTATGAAGGTATTCTATATGTTGATCCCATCTTAAATTATTGTCTATTATTATGCCAAGATATTTAATTTTACTTGCAGGTGAAACTACAATTTGATTTCCAATTTCGAGGTTGTAACTAGGTAGGGCGTTGCTATAGGAACTAAATGGCAAATAGGTCGTTTTTTTTAAATTAACTGATAGAAGTCTGAAATCAAACCACATTTTAATTTTTTTCAAGTCTTCTTCTACGTTTAACTTTAGGTTAAACAAGTTGTTATCTTCACAAAACAACACCGTATCATCCGCAAAACTCATAATATCACAGTTTGTGTTGAGAAGGAAAAGGTTATTTAAATAAATATTAAAAAGTATAGGTCCCAACACCGTCCCTTGGGGCACCCCACAAGTAATGA